AAGATCACTTCAGCCCAGGAGTTTGGGGCTGTAGTGAGCTATGATGACGCCCCTGCACTCTACCCAGGTGACGAAGAGAGACTCTGTTTCAAAAAAAAAAAAATTAACTGTGTTTATTTTAGAGTGTTGAGATTCTGGCTACAATTCATTTATTTGCTTCTCTTCTCTGTGATTTCTAAGCATGAGTTTTGTAATAAGAAAGCTGTTTTTAAAATAATGATTGTTTTTAAGCAGCAACGTGGAATACATATGCTTTAGTTCTTTCTAATGATGCTCTCTCTGTACAGATTGACTTACTCGTTTGATGATTCTCCAACAACAAAAAATGTCTAATGAAAGAAACTAAGGAAGTGGGTGGGTGGAGCGAATTAGATTTATGGCCTGAAGTAAGTGAGAAACTAAAAAGACAGCTATTATTATCAGAAAAGTTAGTGCTAAGAAACTTCCTTTTGTTTTATTATAGTTTTAAAGCTGAATTTACTAATATAGAATATGGTTATTTGGCAAGGTCTGTGTTACTGTGATTTTAAGAATTAGAATTATTACTGAGAGAATTAAAAATAGGGGCTACTACATCTAAATGCTTTTGTTCTGGAAGAGTTAGCTAAATAAGATAAGTAAGGTGTTAAAATATGAGTAAAATATTGGTTATGGTAGATCTGTGTCCATTTCAATGTCCTTTTTTTTTGAAAAAAAAATCTTTGCCTGTAGATGTCAAAATGAGAATTTGTTACTCTGTATAGCAGTTGATTATGACAAATTTGACTACTTTAGGAGGCCAAGAAATCTTTAGAAAAGATTTTGTTGAAATTATCTCTAGCATCCTTATCCTGTTGCCTTAGTACAACATTCATATTTTGTTTCTTTATACCTAAATTCTTTAGTGATAAAAGTTATATTTAACTGATTTAATGGATCAGTCTATTTAATCTGATTCTGAGCCTGGACATTTTCCTTTTTGGTAACTTTTTGTTTTTTTTATTTTTGTTTAAGATTATATTTGGGAATTTAAATATCTTTTTGTTCAGCGCAATTGTATACTGGAAAACCTAGAATTGCACACAACACCTTGGTCATCCTGTGAGTGCTTGTTTGATGACGATATAAGGGCAATTACATTTAAAGCAAAATTTCAAAAAAGTGCACCCTCCTTTGTCAAGATGTCAAACTTAGCAACCCACTTCGAGGATAAGTGTTCAGGTAAGATCTTTATATATGTAAAGTACTGCTAGTTTCAATGTAAGCAAAAAGACTACCATTTGTGGTGAAAATGTATAATTCAATATAAAAAGGAAATATAGATCTTTGCAAATAGCTGAACGAGATATTGGCACCTTCTTAGCTTTTTGCCTCTAATCCTTTGAGGTTAATTTATAATGATGATTAGAGATCACTTCAGATATTTTTTGTGTATAGTTACCATCAGCTTATCATTTGATAAGCCAGAAATAGAAAATTGACCTGATGACCTTAACCAGAGTCACTGTGGAGGTGAACATCTTAAGAAGTCACTCAGCTGTCACCTAGACATCATTGTTAAGATTTAACATTGATACAGAATTTGTGAAATTTACTTACTGCTTTGTAAAATGTAATAACTTACATCCTGAACTCAAATGTGTGTGTGCGTATGTGTGTGTATAAAATTGATCCTCAAAAGCATACTATGTAGAACACCTTTGATTGTGAATTTTGTAGACATACATACTTTCCATTAATTAAATATGATTAAAGTGATTTGTTTTGAGTGAAGTAGCAAAAGGAATACATTTTAGTTCAAAATGCTATAGACTCGGAATGAAGAGAGGTTTCAATAGTGAAAGTAAGTAGATCAGTCTCTACAATTTGAGTGGGAAATATGTTTCACTAGATTGCATTGGCTTCCTAACTACAGAGATAATGCTAAAAAGATGCTAACTTCTAGTTGAAGATATAACAAATTAACAGCATTCGAAGCTATATTTAGGATTGCTAAATGCCAGTTGTTAGTAAATGACAGTGATTATCAGTTTTGGAAACTGATAGAAAGTTTTCCACTGGCTACAATGGTAAATGCATTTTTGAGGGGAAATAAGAGTTGAAGAAAGTGGAATGTATCTATAGGTTTATTTTGTTACATAATTTGAATATTTTAATGAAGAAGAAAATGGTCAAAAACTTTCTGAGCATTCGAATAACATTTTTGGTACTTTTATGGGTTATTGAGAATAACTCAGAAACTGTGGATCTTGATAGTGAATCGACTTTATTATTCCATTTGCATGAATAATTTTCTGATTACATATGGTTTTAGATTTCATGAAATGCTACATGTAGTTTAAGTGAAATAAGATTACTTTTATAATTCTTTTAAAAAAAAGAATCTAGTCCAAAATGAATTAAGTTGAAACTCCTAAGAGATCAGTTGCTAAGATTCTCAAGTATGTTTCTGAAGCCTTTTGGCTAACATGCTATGCTCCTGTTTGGTATTTCCACCAAGATTTAAAACTTGTGGTTCAGAGTGTTACATTAAGAAAAATTTTTAACAAGGTTTATGGGGTGTAATTTTTATATGATAAGCTGCACTTATTTGAAGTGAGTTTTGAAATGAAACCCATGAAACCATCACCGCAGTAAAAACAGAATCCCTCTCCTCTTTGTAATCGTCTCCTTCCACATATCCCTGCCCCTTGACCCTTCTGGGTAACCACTAATTTACTTTCTATCATTAGATATTAGTTTGAATTTTCTATGATTTTTTTTGAGACAGAGTCTCACTCTGTTGCCCTGGCTAGAGTGAGTGCCGTGGCGTCATCCAAGCTCACAGCAACCTCAAACTCCTGGGCTCAAGTGATCCTCCTGCCTCAGCCTCCCGAGTAGCTGGGACTACAGGCATG